TTCTCCCTTGTTTTGGGGAGCAGGTCAGGCTCTAGAATTGTCTCTCGTGGGGATGAAGGAACAACCTCATGTTCGGGTTGTATGACTTTCTCTGAGTTCATCTGTTGTGAGAGTCTGTGGAGACCTCCCTGTGGGGCAGTTTCCCATTTGCCTTTCCCTGGCTTCCAGCTCTCTGCAGGGAGCCCAATTCTAGCTCCCGACCTTCTATACCTGGGGCTGAAGCCTTGTCTTCCAGTGCTGTTGGTTATTGGAAACGAGTCCTGAAACCCCACATCCAGTTCCACGCCCCTGTGTATCTGTCGGAGTTCTGCCAGTTTCTGGCACCTAGAGTTAGTTCACCATTCTAGCTTTTGAGCTTGGCTGCATTTTTTTTTAAGTATATTATCCATATTTCTCCGTGTTTAGGGGGTGGAGGATTGGTTGGTATTATCTGGCAAAAATATATCTGAAGTTTGCAGTTAGTGGAATTCCTTAAAATTATATATGAAATATTGGACTTTCATCAGTTCCTTTAGAGTGGTTTAGAACCACTGTTCTCTGTTGAGCTAAAATCTCAATTTCATTGGTCCCGGTTCTGTCCTTTAAATACTTTATAGTTAAGTACAGCTATTTTTGTGCATGACAACTCTTAGAAAAACCTAAGAATGACTCTTAAATGGTATTGCTTCCATCGTTTGTGGTTCCCCAGGTCATCTTCTTTTTGACCTGACAGTTTTCTTTAATTGTGGTGTGTGAAGGTGAAATTCTGAACTACTCATCCGTTCAGTATACTTAATTCGGTATGATGTGGAATCCATGAGTCCTTTTAGAAGTTTTGATCCACAGTTATTTGAAATCCACTCAAGTTCAAGTAGAAAATGAATATATTGGATCATTACAGTAGTGACTTGTTTAAAAAAAAAAAAAATCCCCACAAAACCCCAAAGGGTAAGAATTGTGCAGGTAGGAATGTGAAACCCAGCAAGAACCAAAGTGGCTTTCTCCTCTAGATTGTGTAGTTATCATCTCTGTGCCTTTGCCTCATCATTACTGTGTCTTTCAGTCTGACTTTCTCCTCTTGCACACGGCTGTCCTGACCTGGCCGTGCATGAGTCCACAGGCTGAGTAGTCTCTGGTGAGCGGATCTGGTTGCCTTAGGGTGGACCCAGTGCCCACCTTCCATGCGTTCGCTGTGTGTGGACTTGGGAGGGAGGTCAGATGGTGAAAGGTTTGCTGCTTCTGTGTCTAGAGCTAGTCAGGTTTTCTTAGAATGTCTTGGGACTGGGACGGCTATGCACTCTTGAAACCGTGACAGATTAAGATCAGAGCCTTTAGCAGCCAGTGGGCTTTGCCTCCATTTAATTGCACTTTTCTAGACTGTGGTTAGACCATTTACCGCTCTCATAAAAACATTTTTGTTCCTGTTCTATAAAGTTACCAAAAGAATGATGCTAACTGAAATTTGGATTTACTATCTCTGGCCCATGATAGTTCCCTGACTGGCTATTTTCTCAGATCCCTTTTGGTTCCTTGTGAGTACATATTCCTCTGCAAATTTGCCCTGTTCTAGCACCTTGAAGAAGCTCAGAATCCAGATCAGAGGCTTAGAGTTTCATGAGGTTCTTTTCTTTCTCTTAGCAATGGGATATTCTTTCCCGTTTGACCTTTGGTATTGTACAACGGTTTAATAATGTTCACTGGTAGAGAATAATATGTATGTACAGGTCTTTCTGTTCTCTGGTGAATTCTGTGTTAAATATGATCACTAGGGCTTCAAGAATGTCTTGCCCAGGAAAATGCTGCTTGCTAGGCTTTCTGAAACCCCTAAAATAGGGGAAGGCAGCTAATTCTTCACTGCATTTGCTTACTTAGCTCTCATGAAACTCAGTTCTTAACTAGTTTAGGTTTGTGGGGTTTTATCAGAAAACACTTTGTTTCTCACTGGAAGTACACTGCTCAGTCTCGGAAGTGTGGGAACCGCTCTCCCGCCTGCGTCCGCCCGCTGACGTGTTTCTCGCTCTGCAGGGACAGGCTCTGGGGGGTCTGCGTGTCCGTCCTGGCCCTCCTGCCCCGAGTCCTCAGGCTGATGCTGCAGAGCCTGCGGGTGAGCAGGGCTGGGCCTGAGGAGCTGCCGGTTGTGGGCCAGCTGCTCCGCCTGCTGCTGCAGCATGCGCCCCTCAGGACGCACATGCTGACCAACGCCATCCTGGTGCAGCAGATCATCAAGAATATCACGGTAAGAAGCGCGAGCAGGCCGTCTGCCGCGTGTACTAGGTTCACGGGCATGGAGGCGGCCGTGGGAGGCCAGGGCTCCTGCGCCTGGACAGACCCCGGGAGTAAGCCCAGAGTGGTGGTTTCTCAGGACTTCCCCTGGCGTCTGATTCCAGAATCAGTGCTAAAAGCCTTAAAATACTCGAACTAAATTAAGGTGGCAGACAGCTTAGTTGGAAAAGGTACAGGCATCAGAGTCAGTCCTAACTGGATTGTGATACAGATTCTATTGATTGGGTGAGTTGGCAACTTTTCTTTTTTTAAAACCTATGTGAGCTTGTTTTCCTAGCTGTAGAAATGGAAATAGTAGCAACTTTGTTGGGTTTTGTTGACCATTAAATGAAATCATCCAAGTAAAGTTTATACTGTAACTGACATTTATTAAGTACCCAACCGATACTGGCTGCCATTGAGGAGATTTAGCAGGAGTAAACTGCAGACCTGTTTCCAGTCACTTAGATCACTGGAGAGAGGAACAAGCTGTGAGCTGTAGGCTTCAGCTTTGTAACGGGCGGTTCTTAAGGTTCATTCGGGTGTTTTGGTTTGGAGAGTTGAAATGAGGTTTTTTAATTGGTATATGTAATAATACTTCAGAGTCATAGAGCTTATACATGCATAAACATAGGATGCATTCTGAATCTCATCAGTAATGGAAGACGAAGCAGAATTCAGAAATAGAAGGAAGTCAAGAATTTGGAGAATCAGCCCATCTGTATAAGGATGACAAATTGAGTCCTATAGAATTACTGTTCTCAGTTGATGTTAATGCAGAGATCATGAGATTCTAGAATGCAAAAGGGCAGCAATACAGAGTGAGGGGTGGTTAATGGTGCAGTTTCATTAGTGCCTAGCAGAGGTGGAGGGGAGAGACCCAGTAAGAAACGGGTAGTGCTTGTGCCGAGGATGCAGCAGGAGGTTTAACCCCCTGCGGTAATCCCCCAGTAACAGGTCCCCTTTTCGGTGAGATCTCCTGTGGTGGTTTATAGAGGAGGATGCTCCTGCGGGAACTCCGAGGTCTTGCTGGGCTGTGATGAAACCGTCAGGAAGCAGCTGTGGCGCCGCGCTCACGTTGCTCTCTTCCCTCCGCAGACACTGAGGAGCGGCGGTGAGCAGGAGCAGTGGCTCACGGACTTGCATTACTGCTTCAATGTGTGTGTCACGGGGCATCCCCAGGGCCCCCGCGCCCTGAGTACGGTGTACTGAGAGCCCCTGCAGCACCTCTGTCGGAGACTGTGCACTCACGTCTGATTTTGAAGAGAGACTGATGTAATAGATGTTTGTCATTAAAGCTGAACTTTTAAAGAAGCTGTTTATGACCCGTCCTTTGTACTGAAACAGGAAAATAATGCTTGGGAGTTGCCGTGGATGCACAGGCTGGCTTCTTGGACTAGCGTGTGATATGTGGTTAAGTATATACATCCTCATAGCTAAGTATATAAAATACAGAGCAATAATGTGGTACCTCCTGTTATATTCTAAGAAACCAGCTGAATCCTTGTGGCCCCATCGTGGCAAACCTCATTCTGTGTTCTCAGTCCCAGTTCATTCAGACAGCAACAGACTAGTGTTTGGTTTGGTTCTGGAGTGCTTGCTTCTCGCTATGGAGTTGTGTTGTTTACAGAGGATTTCTAGTAGGATTTCAAGACAGTACTCCCATTGTTGTGAATTTTGCTATACCTAAGTGGTGTTTGGTCTGAGCTGCAAAACCCTTAAAAAATTATTTTTCTACTAGTGATTATAATTTTTGTTAGAATCATTTTCACAATAATGATGTAATTAGCCAACTGTAAAAAAAAAAAAATCCAAGTGTTTAACACTTTATTGTTTCCAGTCTCTCACTGTCAGGACAGGGGTGGCAGTGATCTTAAAACGTAAGCAGTCCTAGAAATACTTGTGAGCCTAATATGTCATTGTTTCTGCCTGTCTACATTACTAGTAGCTTTGCCCTTAAAAGATGAAGAAGCCCATAATCACTGATTTTATTTAAACCAGATGTTCTTCAAGAGCTGGAATGCATAGTTCGCACAGTGCCAGAGGAATGGCAATTTGACAGGACGGCTCACCTCCGCAGGTCAGGCAGAAAAGGAGGAGGAGGTTAAGGCCCGAACTGGCAGCCTGTGCCCGCGCGATCTGGTCTGTGGGCCTGCCGACTCGAGGCCTCGGTGCTGAGGTGCAGCCGCCGGCGCTCAGCAGAAGGAACGCGTTCACAGAGGACATGGCCGCAGCCTGTGGCCTTCAGAGGCTGACACGGAAACTGTAAAATGTAAGCCATCAACAGCGTACCTAGTACAGTCTTAGCATTTCTCAAAGCGAACACTGGGCCGTGACTCTGGATGTGGTGTCTGTAATGACGTCCATTGCATTTGATTCCGGAAAAGCAGTGAGCTGAAGGCAGTTGCTGTGGGCCAGGCTCCTCCCCATCTCATTTAGGTTCTTCAGACTGGAGTCAGCAAAGCCAGGCTTGCACCAGCCGGCAGGCAGACACCCCGACCCAGCAGCGTCCTCAGTGCTCACTTCTCTCAGTTCTGCGGAGACTCACTGTTACACAGTCTTCTTTTCCAGCCCCGCCGATGTGGAGGCGGGCGGGCAGCTCTGCACAGGTATGGACCACCCTGGTCCTTTCAGAGCAGGTGAAGGATTTACAAAACAGTGCTGTGTGGAGCAGAAGGAAAACACATTTCTTTTCCCTTGTTACCACATAGTCAGGCTAATAAGGCTTTGGGATATTAAAGTTGCCTAAAGTGTGAAAGCTAATCCGAGAACTTGAAGTCTGCACTGGCTATTCGAGCCCCCCGGGCACAGTCTCCCTCCTTAGGCAGTCGAAGCTTTAGTTTGTTTCTTGATGGGTTAGCTGATTGCAGGTTGTAAGAAAAATTCTGTGATCTTCCACTGTTCTCAAGGAGGTGAAGACACTGCAAGTTGCTCACTGTTAAATGACAGATAAATAGTTAAATGATTAATACTGAAGGGCAGAGGGTGGGAAGGAAAAGGGGTTTAGGTTTGGACTATCCATGGAACCCAATAAGGTGATGGCTGGTTTATGGTAGAGACAGGATGACATCAGCCCCTCCTTTTCCATCCTCTCAAAGATACCTGACATCTTTTTAAGGAAGAACCTTGACTGTGAGGGGGCAGGTGCCTGAGGAGCTAGGACTGGAACGTAGGTCTTCAGTTTGCTTGAAATAACCACTATGATGCTGCCTTCTCTGCATCTCTTAACACGACAGTTAAGACAGGATGCTACAGTTGCACCACTCGGGTGCGCTCAACCCTCTCACTTAGCAAATGAGGACGCCCTGTGGAGGCTGTATTGCTGCATGTTCTCTTAACTTGCTGTGGAGCAAAGAAGCAAGCATGAAAGGTGAGTAGTTTTTTTAAAAAGTTACAAAGGTAATCGTTCTCTTCTGTTTTAATTCCTGTTATTCAGTGAAGCCGAAGTGAACTGTTTGGGACCTCTAATGCTTTCTGCCTGCTTTGCTGTATATCAAGCTGTCTTGTTATCTGCATACCCCTCTGTAGCTGGGCCGGGATATTCCGCATTCATATGGGGGTACCGTTTTTACTAGTCCATGGTTATTCCATTCATTGGAATGGGATTTTTTTAGAGGAAGTTTTTATTTTAATGAGATGGGCCCCCAAATTTGGGACATTTCTCTCTCTCTCTCTCTCTCTCTCTCTCTCTATATATATATATATATATATGTTCTCTGGTCCATTACTATGCTGCTCTTCTTTGTGGGTGTGGGTGGTTTGCAGGTGGGTGGGAAGACTGGGGAGAATGCAGTTGTTTGTTTCCTGGATACATGTAAAGAAACAGTCCAAGGAGTTTGTTTCTTTGGTTTATCCCGCTAACTTTCTATTCCTTTTAAGAGATAAAAGCACTACTCACACCTCTCCCTGAGTTGAAGGTTAGGAGCCACAATCTTAACTCAGATCTGAGCACCTACAATGTGCCCAACAATGCACTAAAGCTAAGTAAACAGTGAACAAGTCATACATCCTTAACTCGGTGGAATTCTCAAAGCAAACAAGTTTAAACTTTTTAAAAACTTTTTGGCTGTGCCTCAAGGAATGTGGGATCTTAGATCCCTAACCTAGAATGAAACCCACGCCTGCTGCAATGGAAGTGCAGACTGCCAGGGAAGTCCTTCAAAGCAAACGTTTCTACTTATGGTAAAGACTAAAGCACGGCTTGTCTTCCTTGGTTCAGTTGGCCATCTGTGATGCCGTGTTGCAGAAACAAATATGTCTGTCCAAGTCATGCCTGTTTCATGGAAATTTATAGACATGTATTCTGAATAAAACATGGGCTGCTGCTAACTAGCTTGCTGCTCTGCCCATCAGCCTTATTCACAGGTCAGTGATTAATGTGGGTAGGTAGGTGGGCCTCATAAAACCTTTGTCCCCCAAGTTTGGGTTTGGGAAAATGTTCTCTTCTGTCCTCATCCATTTTCAAGCCAGTGTAGAATAGACAAGCTGATAATTCATAGAAAGTTCTAAGAAACTACTGACAATTTATTTTGTTTATTCTGTCTTTAACTGTGAGTCCTTTAACATAAAACCTCTTAGGCTGTTAAACATCTTCATTTTTAAAGATTTGATAGTCCTGGACTTTGTCAAGACAGAGTAAAATACCAAAAATGGTACATCTTAAAGTAATTTTATCTAACAGTTGTTTCTGAAACTATTCCTCAGTTCACTCAAGATAACTAGACGTGTGTGGCTTTTTTTTTTTCTTTCTTTTAAACCTAGAACTATGGCCTGACTCCTTTGAGTTTCTAATTGCCCTGATCAGCCTGCCTATATTACATGAATTGCCCAACTCTTACTAAAGCTTTGGTAGTAAATACAGTCCCCCATCTCCAGATTTTCCCCCATCAAAAACTAAACGAATGTTCAAGGTCGTGCTGACAGTCACTGCTCACCTCCCCAGCTGCGCCCTGTCCCTGCCGGATGCTGGGTCAGGGACTGGGGGGGAGCGTGTTGCCATAGCCACCTACAAGCAGCACTGGGCCTGGCATTCGCTGCTGACAGCGCTGAACTTATGCCCACGTTGGATGCTGGCGTCAGCGGAGGGGCCCTGAGCAAGGCATCTTGTCTGGTGGCTAAAAAGAGTTCCCGGAACTGCTCCTGTGTGAGTGAAGGTGTGGACAGCTGAACCTGAGCTGGACCTACTGTTAAATAGTAAACGCCCTCCTGAGGTGGCCCTAAAAGGGAAAACCAGGATTTGTAGTAAAGGGAATTCTTCCCATCTTTGCGGAGGAGATGGTGGATCTTAATGGGAAACCAAAACAGAACAAGAACTCCCAGGATGTTACTTTGAAGGATAACAGTACTTGTGCTTACCCCTCTTGTATGTGAACAAGTATGGTAAAGTGATCAGTAATAGGAGCCATTTATTATTTCTGCTGGAGGTACTGTTAAGTTTTGGGTTATAAAAATAACTTGTCTCTTCTGAACAAGAGATGTTTATTGTGATAATTCCATGAAAAGGGGATGAAAAACATGCAGCCCTGAAACAACTGGCCATTGGAACCCCCTGGCAGTCTGCTCCAGCGTCTCCACCTTTGGGGATGAAACAGGAAAGGGACGTGTTTCTCGCACGGTCTCCCGTCTGCTTTGCCACGTAGGGGCTGCCTTACCTGAGCTGAGACCCAGCACAGAGGGGGCTTTTGAAGACCTGGTGGGCTGGCGCACTTTCCCTTCTTGAGAACCTGAAATCAATCAACAGTTATCTATTTTTGACCAATGACAGCTGTAGCCTGACCAAGTGCTGGATTTCTTACTGAGGGGAAGGCCTGAGCTGCAGGTGCCCACCAAGATAGATTGGTTAGGAAGTGGAGAGCCACGGAGGCCCAGGCTTAAGTCTGGAGGTTTCGCTGCCAGGGCCGCAGATCTGTGTGTGAAGGTGCCGTAACTTTTGCTCCCTCCATCGAGGAGCGAGGCAGGCACTCTGCAGAGCTGAAAGGGCTCCGTGTGCAGCAGTTTATCCGCCAGACAGGCGTGTACTGTAGTGCATGGATCTGGGGTGCTCCTGTAGACAGGGAGCTCTGTGCTATCTAAGCGCATGGACGGGCAGCATGAGGCCGGCAGGTCGACCTGGGCCTGGGATCCTCTAACTGGAGAATTTAAGGGGAAAACCAGCAGCAGTCTAGAGAGCGTGCTATGGTGAGGCTTCCATCGGGAAGCCCAGCGGACGATCTCTTGGCAGTAAGGCACTCTTGGTTGAGATCAGAATGCTTCATGAAACTAATTCTAACCCAGAGTTGCTGCAAGGGAGGCATAAATACGATGAGAATTCTCTTGGTGCCTGGCTGTTTAATAAAGTTCCTACCTAAATGGAGGTTTGCCCAACGTAATTAAATCCTGTTTCACAGTCTAAGGTGACGCACTTCAGGGTGCTGCCGTAAAGCACGCAGGACAGTTACCGTAGATCTGCTTGAGCGCTGAGTGCCTGCTGGGCTTGCCGCCCGAGCTGCCCTTGGGTGGGCTCTTGTTGGTCTTGCTTACTGCCATGGTCTTCGGGGGTTTCAGTTCCAGTTCCCTCCTCCAAACCTGGAGGATCAAAGCCAGGCACTCTCGGTTCCATCTGTCCATGTCTCTGGCTCCGAGCCGCTTCAAGTGCATGAGGTGTGACAGGTGCTTCCTGAGCTGGTAGCTGGGGAGTCAGGAGGGCAGAGAATTTAAAGTCTTAGTACTGAGAAAACCAATGTCCCTGGAAGTTCCTAGAAGCTATAGGAATAGTAGTTGCTGGACTCTGAGATTCATTCAGACTGCCATTCCTAATTTCAATGGCAGTATGTTGTATATTGAGTTCTGCCCCTGTCCATCAGTACTTCCTGAACTAGGAATCACTTAGATGGGTCCTTGCCAACGTGTAAACGAACAAATGAAATGTGAGAAGTACTGTGTGAGAGCTCGGAGCTGGATGGCTGGGGTTTGTGCTGGGTTTTCAGGGATGAGTGAAAGCTGGCTAGGCAGGGAAGGGCACTGTGGGCAGCAGAACTGGCATGACTAGAGATGTGAGCATTTGTGCATGAATCTTTACTAATGGAGTGAGATGTGTGCAAAGGACTATGTATTTGGCAAGGCAAGGAGGATTGGAGACTGGGCCCCACAGTGGAAGGAACCAGCATTTGGTCAGTGCCTCCTGGATACCAGGCACCTCCCCTGTGGTTAAGTCTGAAAGTAAACCTGTGAGGCAGACATGAAGCTGACGAAGGCTGAGTCGAGAGGAACATCACCAAGATGGTGACATAAATCCATTTTGACTGCTCCCCATCACAAGAACAGCAGCTAATAGTTACTTCTGGCCAAGAAAGACGGCAGTGAGAAAATCCTGGGACATGGGGATGCGGCTAAAGCACCCCCTGCTCTAGATGCCGGGACATTTAGAAGGGTAACCATGTGAGCAGCTCCATGCTGACAGCTCGCCCCCCCGCCCCCGCCCCTCAGGCTGGCTCAGCATCACACGGAGGGCTCTACCCCGAGCCCACGATTCTCCCAGTGAGAAAGGAGCCCAGGGTGGACCTCCCGCTCCCCCAGCATCATGGGCTGCTTCTTGGGAGCAACTCCAGTCTTACTCCATGGGGACTGCAGGGCACTCTGGGGCTTACCCACTGGGAGCCCAGTGATGACAGAGCAGGAATGAGGGGCTTGAAACAACCAGCATAAGGATCTTGGCAGAGCCTACCTGCAGAGTCCAACTGGTAGCTCAGACCAGTGGCTCTGTTTGGACTCTGCAGAAACAAGACAGCAGCACAGTCTGAGCAGGGAGCCCACTGGTGGTCAAGTTTCCTGGATCCAGTTTCTTACACACACAACCCTGCTGGCCTTGGAGCCTGGTCTGACCCTGCCTCGGCAGGAGAGCTGGGTCATAGCCCAGCCCATGGCTGGGTAGTTTCTGGTCGCTTCCTGACCAGAAAGGCTGGCCAGACCACCCGGACGCTGTGGAGCCCAGCAATGCTCAAGAAGAGGGCAAAGCGGGCAAAGCCGATCATCCGCAAAGCCACAGCATTGTCCAGCCAGGGACCTTGGGGAGCAGGGCAGCTTGAATCAAGATCACAAAGAAGCCACCTTTAGAACCAGTTCCGCCACTCTGCCTGGGTAGGGAAAGTAATCCCAAGCTCCACCATGGCTGAATACAGCCTTCAGCCCGTCCAACCAGGGGACCTCACCAGAGTACACTCAAGCCTTGAAACCCATCCCATAGTCCTTAGAGCAGCACTTGAGGAGAGGACTGCCCATGGCTTCCCCCTCTACGGAATAAAACTACTGGCTGTGTCTGGCCAGGGAATTCAGTGCCGGTGCTGGGGTGTCCTGTCCAACCAGAGCAGGACGGTAAATCCTAGCTCTGCCTACTGCCAGTCTTGACTAAGTAAGCCTGGCTAGAGAAGCCGGGCAACTTGCAGAGCCCAACCTACAGCCTCACTTGAGCAGGGAACCAAAGCAGCAGTCCTGTCCAGCTGTTCGCGACCCGCCCCCCGCCCCCAACCCCCCCCACACGTTCTTAGGGCCTAGGCAGAGGTCTTGCCCAAAAAGAGAAAGCAAGTCCCACCTGCCCAAGTACATCATCAACAGACAACGTCCAGAAAACCAAACTGAGCTCAGTGCTGAAGAACCGTCTCTGCCAAAGCAAACTTGGGAGAGGAGGCTGCTTATTCAGATACATAGATGCCAACATAAGGAACCAAGGATACACCGCCCCGCCCCCCCCCCCCCCAAGAAAAAAGAAAAACCACAGGTAAGTATGATACCAAAGGAAATAATGATACTTTAAGATACTCTGTATAAGCTTCATGGTAATCACAGGGATAAAACGTGTACTAATTACACCAAGGAACATGATAAAGAAGCCCATGCAGATTGGCACCAGAAGGCATCAAAACACAAGAATAAGATGGAACAACGGATCAACAGAACCAGACGACAAAACGGCAATAGTACGTCCTCACCTACTAATAACTGGGCTGAGGTGGCCCTACTGGCAAAGAGCCCGCCTGCCAGTGCAGGAGACGTCAGAGACATGGTTTCCATCCCTGGACGGGGAAGAGCCCCTGGTGGAGGGAGTGGCAACCCACTCCAGGATTCTTGCCTGCAGTATCCCACGGACAGAGGAGCCCGGAGGGCTACAGTCCACGGGGTCACACAGACTCGGACATAACTTGGCACACACGTACCAATAATTACTTCAAATGTAGAAACTTTAAAACAACTACCATGGGATCCAGCATTCCCACTTCTGAGTGTATAACTGGAGATGAAAGCAGTACATTGAAGAGATCCCTGTATCCACAGCAGCATTATTTTACCATAGCTAGGACATGTCCACTGACGGGCGAATGAATCAAGAGGCGGTTTTATGCACGCATGCAGACAGAAGAAGAGCGTGTGTTACATGTGTCTTATCGGTTCAGCCACTCGGCCGTGTCCGACTGCGACCCCGTGGACTGCAGCCGCGCTTCCCTCCCTGTCCATCAGCAGCTCCTGGACCCACTCAGACTCGTGTCCGTCGCCTCAGGGACGCCATCCAGCCATCTCGTCCTCAGCTGGGCCCTCTCCCACCGTCAGTCTCTCCCAGCGTCAGGGTCTTTTCCAGTGAGTCAGCTCTCCTCATCAGGTGGCCAGAGTATTGGAGTTTCAGCTTCAGCACCAGTCCTTCCAATGAACACCCAGGGCTGATCTCCTTCAGGATGGACTGGGTGGATCTCCTTGCAGTCCAAGGGACTCTCAAGAGTCTTCTCCAACACCACAGTTCAAAAGCATCAGTTCTTCAGCGCTCAGCTTTCTTCACAGTCCCAACTCCCACATCCATGCATGACCACTGGAAAAACCAGAGCCTTGACCAGACGGACCTTTGTTGGTAATGTTTCTGCTTTTTAGTATGCTGCCTAGGTTGGTCACAGTGTTTCTTCCAATATATATGTGTATTATATATATACACAACAGAATATTATTCAGTCATAAAATGAAATGCTGCCATTTGCAGCAACATAGACAAACCCTGAAGACCTTATTTCAGATAAAGATAAATATTATTTCACTTACATGTGCCATCTTCACAAATAGAAAAGAAATTCATAGAGAAGTCAGATTTGCGGTCATCAGAGATTGGGGGAGGTGAACTGGATGAACATGATCAAAAAGTACAAACTTCCAGTTACAAGACAAATAAGTACTGGGGATGCAGTGTGCAATGTGATGACTGTAGTTAACACTTCTTGACGACATATGTGAAAGTTTTTAAAGAGTAAATCCTAAGAGTTCTCATCACAAGGGAAAAAACCTTTTACCTATGTGAGATGATGGTGTTCACTAAACTTATGTGGTAATGGTTTCATAACATATGTAAACCAGGTCATTACGCTGTACACGTTAAACTTACGCAGTGCCACATGTCAGTTATATCACAATAAAAATTGGAGGGAAAAGGCTAACAGCCAGGAGAAGCCAGCATTCAAATCAGTGCTTGTCTGGTCCAGCAGCCAAGCACCGCTAACGACTTGGTCTCTACTCTGTACTCGGCGGGGATGCTGAGGTTTCTAAGAACAGTGGCAAAGGCCAAGAGCTGAGTTTTAGTAAGTAAGTCTTGGTAAGACCTTCTGCTGGAGGGTGGAGCCTGGGGTGGGGGAGAGGGGAGGGCCACCAGGGTGATGGCCACATTTACCTCTGGGGTTTTTCTTCCAGTGTTTATCCCATGTGCATGCCCCAAGCTCTTGCTGAGCTTGGCTGTCGTGCAGCCTCCCAGGGAAGCTGCAGCAGGGTTCACTGACCGCAGCTGATTAACGTCTCCCAGTGCGCCCGCAGGGAGCTGCACGCCCGGGCTTCAGACACACCAGTTGGGACAGGACCTTCCTCCCAAGCGCCGGAAGCTTCCCTCCCGTCCTGAAGGCTGGTCACAGTAGGACCACATGGTTCTTCCTTTCTTCCCCAGAGCATGACAAACCATGGCACCCCTTTACTAGAAGGTCCCATGTTTCCCAAAAGCCAATTATAGACAGAAGTAAGCGTTACGGGACAACACAGCTCCCCACTTCAATTCCTCCACGCCCCCTGCTCTGCGAGCGGAGGCTGGGGGCCAAGGGGTTGGCTGGAGCTGTCACAGACTCTGGTGTGGAGGCCGAGTCTGTCTGATGGTCTCCTGTTCTCGAGGAGAGCGTGCACTCCTGGTTTGCTGAGACCCAAACACACCCAGTGGTCGCCCTCAGCCTGGGTGCAGGGCGCTGCTTACGGCCCAGCCGCTCCTCGCTTATTTACCCCAGAACCTGCTGGGGCGGAGCTGATGACAGTGCTTCCTGCAGCAGCCCCTCCTCACCACAGCACTTTCCACCCAGCCCAGCTTGTCCAGTATCCAGGTTCAACCTTTCAAATAGTCCAGTCTTCACTGGTAATAAAACTCAGATTCTAAGACGAAGTTTCGTCTTCTCTGGGCCCCAGGTTCAATCTGCTCAGCCCGTCCGGTGTGCTTCCAGCCGGCCGCCTGCTTTCCTGGGCATACGGCCTAGGACGGGGACCTGGGCTGATGGGAGCTCCCCAGCCCTGCCCTCGGGGCCCCTGACGACACCCCGGACACCCCAGGTCGTTCTGGGTGGCACTGGGGGCTCCTGGGCTTCAAACAGAAGGCAGACGTGGCTGTAGCACAGTCAGTAAAGGGCTTTAACCGTCGCTGGTCGCGGCGCGCAGCTTCCCAGAAGCCGTTTGGGGCTGATGTCCCAGGACTCGGAAATGCACAGGGTGCAGCCAGAGGGGCCTGGGCAACCGCCTCCCCAGGTGGGCGCGCAGACCGAGTCCGCTGTTCCTGAGGAGAATGACAGGCTCATTTGCTGCTGCGGACACGGGCTGACAGGGTCTGTCAGCGCTGCCTCTTCAAGGGAGACAGAGGCCAGTCTGACGGGGAGGGCCTGAAGCTGGGGAGCCTCAGGCTTGTCTGGATCCCAGGTTTCAGCTGATACTTAACAGGAGCTGCCTCTGGGATGGTGGCCAGTGCCCGTCCTGGAGGAGCACCCAGGACGAGGGAGCAAGGACCCCCTTCCCACCTGCGGTTGCAGAGGTCACCGGCCGAGTGGCAGGCCAGTGCTGGCACACACCAGCTCTGTGAGTGGGGCCGGCTGGGGAGCCGTGTCCCCGGCGGCCCTCACAGGGATTACGCGCGTTTATACACGTGCGACCACTCACAGCGGTGTCTGCCGGGAGTGCGGATGAATACAACCACTGGTCTTAGTAACAGCGATACAACAAACCCCATGCATTATAAAAACATGTTGATGCGGTGAGACCATCCAGGCAGCCTGCTCTCCTCCAGCCGGTTCTGAGCCGCACCGCGTGAGGTCGGCCTGTGCCTCCATCATTCTGACCACGGCACACACTACCTTCAGAGAACCTAAGGGAAAGGGGCCTGGGCTTAAGTCAGACCGAACTTCGAGTGCTGGACCTGACCATCAGGACCAGCCTTGCTTCCTGAGAACATCTGCTGGTCTGCAAAGCATGGGCACGACGCCCTGTTGTGCCAGCTCCCGGCGAGGCTGGGAGAGCCGAGGAGGTCGGGCACGAGGTGACTCAACTGCCGAGCCTAAGCAGACGCGCGGGCACCCGACAGTGATGGCCGGCAGGCCCGGGCAGGTCGCTGGGCTCTGGGCTAGGAGACCCGCACGAAGATCCCTGATCCTCTCCCTGGACCGCCCAGGACACCTCAGCTCTGCCTCTGCCAGCCTCAGGGTCCCTGGCGCGTTTATCTCCCCACAGGGGCACTGACCTGCTTGCTATGCTCCCCCGTCACGCTTCCCCGCTCCCCGGATGGGGGCCGCACGGCTGCCACCGGCCCAGGACGGCCCGGCCGTCCCCCAGCTGTGGTCCGCACCGGACGGCCTAACCTGGACTGGGGCCCTGGGAGGGCCTGCGGCGAGATGAGAGGACCGGGGGCGCAGGGCTCCCGCGCTCTTCCCCGACGCACGCCCTGCTGTGTGCATCCCGGCACCCCAGGAAGCCCGCCGCGCTCCCAGCACCGCTCCACACTCCGAGCGCACGCGGGTTTCTACCATAACGCCTAGTCCCTCAGGGCAGTGAGTCTGATTCCTGAGGAGTAAAGAGGGGAAACCATCTTCCATGTGCAGTGCTTTAGAGCTTACACAGCATACGGTATCTCATTCCAGCAACCCGTCACACAAGCAGGACAGGTGGCAGCGACTGCTAAACACCGCTTCACAGAGGAGGAGAGCCAGGGCCAGGTTGGCCGCTGCTCAAGGTCAGGTAATGCTAGAGCCTCACCTGAAACTCAGGCTTCCCGGGTGTTCACTTACAGCCCACTATCTTGGGTGCTCTCCTATCTTTCTGGGTTAAAAACACCTTCCAAACAGCTTATTATAGATTCTTAAGATCTAAACATGTGTGAACCTCATAGGTAGGAAAATTGGCCTTCTCAGGCCAGCACATGCAGTTCACTAGAGTATCACAAGGGCTTTCCTGCTGGCTCGGTGGGAAAAACCCACCTGGAATGCAGGACACAGGTCCAGTCCCTGGTCTGGGAAGATCCCACACGCCTCAGAGCAGCTGGGCCTGTGCGCCACCCCGAGGCTGTGCGCCACCCCGGAGGCTGTGCTCCACCCCCGAGGCTGTGCGCCACCCCGGAGGCTGTGCGCCACCCCGGAGGCTGTGCTCTACCCCGGAGGCTGTGCGCCACCCCGGAGGCTGTGCTCCACCCCGGAGGCTGTGCGCCACCCCGGAGGCTGTGCACCACCCCGAGGCTGTGCGCCACCCCCGAGGCTGTGCGCCACCCCGAGGCTGTGCTCCACCCCAGAGGCTGTGCGCCACCCCACCCCAGAGGCTGTGTTCTGGGGCACACGCTCCGCAGCGAGACGCCGCCGCAGCGCAGAGCCTGCCCCCCCACAGGAAAGAGCAGCCTCCGCTCACCTCAGCCACAAGAAAGCCCGTGCAGCTATGAAGACCCACAGAAGCCCTAGATAAACAAAACTGCACAGATGAAGAGAGCGTCCCAGGGCAGAGCAAGTGTCGGGCCGGGCGGAGGACAGACACAGAGCCAGCACTCTTGTGCCCTGCCTTCCTACCTCCTCCAGGCCCGCTGGACGACCGCCGCGGCCCTGTTCTTCCTGCGGAACAGCTCCTTCCTGCTTCTTTCTCTCTGGATGATCTGCAGCCGCAGCTCTACGGGGAGAAGGGCGATGTTCACAGCCTGCGCAGGGAGGGCCCCGGGAGCCGGATCGGCCTCCGTGGGCAGCCGAGTGTCCTCAGACCGGGCCGATGCCCCCAGCTTCCTGACTCCTGATCGCAACACCTCTGTGCTCGGAGGCAGATCTGAGGAGGCCCCTCCTGCGAGCTTGTCCTGGGTCACCGTGGTCCTTGGCGTCCGGTGGTTGAGGGGGCTCTGCCCGGCGTGGACCGCCTCCCCCTTGGCACTGCCGGGCCTGCTGGACCCGGCCGGGGAGCGCCTCCCTCCTCTGAGCTCCTGGCCGCGCCTCTTCGGCGGCGCGCGCGCGGCCTTGGGGGCTGCCTCGGGCCGCCGGCTGCGCTCCTCGCCTTCCGCGGCGGGCCCGGCCGCCCGCACGCGGGACAGCTGCTTGCAGGAGCCTCTCCCCTCGTCGCCGCGCGGCTCAGCAGCCGTCTCACCTCTGGGCTTCCCGGCAGCAGAGGCTCCCGGACCCTCCCGGTCCCCAGCACCGCCTTCGCTGGGGCTGAAGTGGACACAGGCAGGTCGGCCTCTAGAGTGTTCTCTGGCTGTTTCTTGGGGAGACAAGAAGAAGGGGACGAAGCATTACTGTCCGGACCTGGTCGGGTAGGGCAGTTCTGCACACCTGTTCACCAAAAAAATTCAGACTTTTCCTTTCGTGTCACCATGATAGTGATAGTATGATTAGGAAAAATTGTCTAACTTCTTTTTCTAGTAACGGTAGGTTAGACAACCTGAAAGCCTTCCCCTATAGAAACTTAGAAATTCTGACTAAAATATAATAAGCATTATTTTTAAAGCACCATAGTGCCTTCAAGAAAAAGAAAAGAAATCCCTGGGGGCCAAAAACAAAGAGAAAACCGAGAACTCTAGTAACAAGCTTGTGAGCTGATCCAGCAACGGTCAGGCGGTGAAGTGGTGAAGTGGGCAATGGCTGGTCTTATTAAATAATGGATTGTTTTAACATCCAGATAAGAACAGAAGACAAGCCTTGCAGGCAGAAAGTTAACTGGAAATGGGACATTGCATGAAGTGAGGACTCTTGAGGCAGTAAACTCTTGGGAAATGATAATCCAGATAAAAATATCTTCCCAGCACTAGAAGATGATAAAGAAATTTGTCTCAGCCTAGGTTCCAGATAGGGTAAAAGGTCATCCATGAGAGTTTGAAACCAAAGTGCTGAGCCTCACGTAGGTTTGGTATTCATTTATTCTCAACCCAGAGGAAAAATTAATATGAAACTTGGTCTCAGGATGGTGGCGTGGCAGGAGCCGTCACAGAAGCAAACGCAGTATTGCTTCAGGCCGTGCAGAGGGGGCCTCCTAAAATAACGCTGCAACCCAAATTACAGCATACACAAGCAAACAGCCTACTATGAGGGGCAGTTAACAGAGAAAAATAACAAGATTAGATCAACAAAAACGTCAACTAATAGAACAATGTGACTGTGCACACACATGTACACAAAACATGCTCATTAAACACACAAAAGAAGTACAAAATTAGAGACAAAAAGTTTAAATAACTAAATATAATTATCTAAAATGAAACTGTTAGTCTTGAGGTAATAAACAGTGAAGGAACTTTTGCTTCTATAATGGCAGAATTGATGCATACTCACCAATAAGGACAATCAAAAAGTTAAAATATTACAACCACCTGTTTGCCAGGTGGCACTAGCAGTAAAGAACCTGCCTGCCAATGCAAAAGACATAAGAGACATTGGTTCGATCCCTGGGTTGGGAAGATCTCCTGGAAAAGGAAATGGCACCCCACTCCAGTGCTCTTGCCTGGAGAATCCCATGGACAGAGGAGCCTGGCGGGCTACAGTCCATGGGTTGCAGGGAGTCAGACACGACTGAAGTGACTCAGCATGCATGCACCTGTCTGAGGCTCTCAGGAGCTACCAGGGCAGAAAATAAAAACGAAACAAGGCCAAGATCCAAGAAAACCAGGTGACCAGGAGATGAACAAGGCATCTGGGGCTCCTTGAGGTTTGGAGGGCAAAACTTGGAGTCCAGGTTCTGCCAAGGAGCGTTGTTCCAGGGAGGAGAGGTGGACTGGCAGTGGGAGCCCACCGCCGCCTCACCTCAGTTCTGGGGCTGCGTTAGGGTGGCCTCGGCCGCCCTTTCTCCTGAACGCCCGACAGAAGTCCATCTACATCCGCCCTGGAGGGGTTATTGATCGCACCATGCTCGGCTGTAAGTTACTTCTCTAATTTCTTACATTCAAGGGCCCAGTACTTAGTGACAAATATACAGGGAGATGATACAAGACACAAGTGAGAAGGAGAGAGGGAGAGAGAACAGGCAATGAAACAGACACGCAGGTTACCCGACGACGTGTTTTCAGGGACAGACTTTAAAATAACTATTCTTACGTGTGGAAGAATATGGATATTCTTCATGTATGAAGGAAGGGTATGTAAGAAAATAGACTTGCACCTGCTCATTTGTACAAAACAAATACAGAAGGATAATCTGGAACCTGAAGACTAGATCCCTGCAAGGCTGGAGTGGGTAAGGGACAGAGAGATGAGGGGGATGGAGGCCGAGGAGCAGGGTGAGGAGGGAGAAATGCTCTCCTGAGTAAGACTTTCCACACCGCTCTCTCAGAATCATGATAATGTTCCACATGTACCAAAACAAAATTAGAAAAAAAAAGAATGAATTAAAATAACAATGCGATAACACTACACATGGTAAAAATAAAAAATACTGACAACATCAAATGCTGACGAGGGTGAGAAGCCGCAGGAATGCTCCCTCATTGCTGGTGGGATGCCAAATGGTGCAGCCACTTTGGAAGATGTCTGGCAGTTTCTTACGAAGCAGAACATATTCTTATCAAACAATCCAGCAGTCCTCTTTGGTATCTTCCCAGATGAATTAAAACCTTATGTCTACCCAACATCCTGCACATGGCTGTTTATAGTAGCTTCATTCATAATTGCCCAAACTTGAAGCAGACAAGATGTCCTTCAGTAGGTGAACATATAAATAAATTGTGCTATATCCAGACAATGGAATATTATTCAGCAATAAAAAGGAGTGAACTAAAAGGAAATGAGTTTTTAAAAAAATGAACATGTACCAAAAAGAAATGAGCTACCCAGCCACATAGAATATTATGAAGTGAAATATTACTATCCTTGCATGAACAGTACTCATACATATTAATAAGTGAAGGAGGTCACTATGAAAAGTCCATATACTGTATGATTCCAACTATATGACATTCTGGAAAAAGTGAAAATTATGGAGACACTGAATGGCTCAGTGGTGAGGCAGTGAAGCACAGGCAGAGCACAGTGGACTTTTAGGGCAGTATGAGGTTAATTAATGTCAACTTGACTGGCATAAGAGATGCCCAGAGAGTTGGGTAAACACTATTTCTGGGTGTTTCTGTCAGAGTGTCTCAGCATTTGAACAGGTAACCTGAGTAAACACCACGCTCACCAAGGCAGGTCGGCATGGTCCCATCTATTTAGGGCCTAAACAGAAAACAATGGTGGAGGAAGCGTGATTTTCCTTTTTCGCTGGAGCTGGGACATCCATTTTCTCCTGCCCTTGGATACAGGAGTTCCTGTTTCTCAGGTTTTTGGACTTGGACCAGGACTTTACCAAGCTTCCTGGGTGGCTCAGTGGTAAAGAATCCACTTAACCGATGCAGGAGATGCAGGAGAGACACAGGTTCAATCCCTGGGTCAGGAAGGTCCTCTAGAGTAGGAAATGGCAACCCACTCCAGTATTCTAGCCTGGAAAACTCCATGGACAGAGGAGCCAGCGGGTGACAGTCCATGGGGTCACCAAGAGTCAGACACACTTAGCACAACAACTTAAACCATCAGTCCCTCGATTTCCAAAACTCTGGACTCAGAGCATCTGTTCCTTTGTTTTCAAGCTTTCAGACTCACCAAGTCACATTGCTAGCTTTCCTGGGGCTCCAGCTTCCAGATGCCGGACTGTGGGTCTTCTCAGCCTCCATAATCAAACACACAACCTATACCAAATCTCCTTTAACATCCGCCTGCTTGCCTGCCTATCTGTCTGTCTGTCTATCTATCTATTTGTCTTTCTTATTGGTTCTGTTTCTCTGGAGACCCCTGATAAAAGATGTATAACTATTCTGTATGATACAATACAGGATACAAGTTATTACACATTTGTGAAAACCCACAGACTGTGTAACACCAGGTGTGAATGCTGCTGTAAACTGGACTTGCCTGATAACAACGTGTCAGTGTCAGCTCAGCTCAGTTCAGTCGCTCAGTCATGTCCGACTCTTTGCCACCCCACGGACTGCAGCCCTCCAGGCTTCCCTGTCCTTCACCAACTCCCAGAGCTTGCTCAAACTCATGTCCATCAAGTTGGTGATGCCATCCAACCATCTCCTCCTCTCTTGTCCCCTTCTCCTTCTGCCTTCAATCTTTCCCAGCATCAGGGTCTTTTCCAATGAGTCAACTCTTCACATCAGGTGGCCAAAGCATTGGAGCTTCAGCTTCAGCATCAGTCCTTCCAATGAACACCCAGGACTGATCTCCTTTAGGATGGACTGGTTGGATCTCCTTGCAGTCCAAGGGACTCTCAAGAGTCTTCTCCAACACCACAGTTCAAAAGCATCAATTCTCTAGTGACAAACTTTGTTTATGGTCCAACTCTCTCATCCATACATGACCACTGGAAAAACCATTGCTTTGACTAGATGGACCTTTGTCAGCAAAGTGAGGTCTCTGCTTTTTAATATGCTGTCTAGGTTTTTCAGAGCTTTTCTTCCAAAGAGCAAGCATCTTTAATTTCATAGCTGCAGTTACCATCTGCAGTGATTTTGGAGCCCAAGAAAATAGTCTGTCACTGTTCCCATTGTTTCCCCATCTATTTGCCATGAAGTGATGGGACCCAATGCCATGATCTTAGTTTTTTGAATGTTGAGTTTTAAGCCAGCTTTTTCACTCTCCTCTTTCACTTTCATCAAGAGGCTCTTTAGTTCTTCTTCACTTTCTGCCATAAGGGTGGTGTCATCTGCATATCTGAGGTTATTGATATTTCTCCTGGCAATCTTGATTCCAGCTTGTGCTTCTTCCAGCCGAGCGTTTCTCATGATGTACTCTGCATGAAGTTAAATGAGCAGGGTGACAATATACAGCCTTGATGTACTCTTTTCCCAATTTGGAAGCAGTCTGTTGTTCCATGTCCGGCTCTAACTGTTGCTTCTTGACCTGCATACAGGTTTCTCAGGAGGCAGGTCAGGTGACCTGGTATTCCCATCTCTTTAAGAACATTCCACAGATTGTTGTGATCCACACAGTCAAAGGCTTTAGCGTAGTTAATGAAGCAGAAGCAGATGTGTCAGTGTAGGTTCATCAATTGTTGACAAATGTGCCATTCTGGTGCCGGGTGCTGATGATGGAGGAGTCCACGCATTTGTGAGCAGGAGTGTGTGAGAGCTCTCTGTACTTCCAGGTCTGTTTTGCTGTGACCTTAAAACTGCTCTAAAACACAAACTCTAGGCTTTCCCCTGGTGGCTCAGAGGTAAAGAACTTGCCTGCCAATAC